GATCTGTAGTGAGCAAGAAGAATTCAGCAGATTATGTGCACGCAGTTCCAAATTCTTGTGAATTTTTGGCTTTATCTTTTCCAAATGCTTGCAATATAGAGCAGTATAATCTAAGCTAGCTATAGAGAAAGAAGCAAGGCTGCAAGTCATTTTCCTGTTTGTTCTTCCCTCAAGCCTTAAGAAAAACAACTCAGAGGATGACAATACTCCTTCGATCAGAATTAGCATATGGCCAACTGTAAAATTAGAAGTAAATTGTCATGGTGAAGGCAGCAGAAGTATTCAATGAGCACAACAGAAAAGTTATTCTCAGTTTTAATAGAAAATAAGAGTAATGCATAGAGAAGTTCAAAAATCTTACCACAGCAGCAATTTCTGCTCCAGTTTTGTGGTTTAAAGCAGCAAGTACTACAGAGGCAATGAAAAAGAAGAAAGTGCTGAGTCCAGTGTTGACCAGATCCTAAAAAAATAAATTCATTAGCATTACTAAACAATGATTCTTCATTTGTCTTTATTAGAAGTGAAAAAAACAGAAGACGGTTAGAGCAAGAACTACAGCAATACTCTCCCAGTTTCTACACAGTTCATCACTCACACAAAAGGCGGCAAAGATTATTACACAGGAAATGTAGCATTTGTGTGCATTGGTCTGTGAACTGAAGTCAAACACTTAAAGCACCAGTGCAGATTCTGGATGGGTTTATTAGAAAAGCACTGTCAGCATAAACAATGAGTAAAGCTGTTCCATATCCCGAGTATCAAGCTTTAGCACTTCATGAACCCCTTGTTCTTCTACATCACAACAGCGCTCCATGCACTACTCAGGTAACAGTCATGAATTTTAACAGAAATTCTTTGAGGCCTTTGTTGTAGAAAACTGCGTGCCTTATGCTGTAACAAATGCCCATATTGTGAGATTACACAGATTTTTACTTATTTATTGCATTAAATTGATGTTGCAAGCAGATATTTTAGAACATAGGCACAGTGACAGCCCAGGGGCACCTACGTTCAGGGAAAATTCTTGCTTTGCTCCAATCACAGAAAAATGACAGGTAACCTGCAATTCAGTTATACATCTGCTGCCTGTCACTTAGTGTTCAAATGATTATGCTGCCATGCCTTACAAAAAGCAGGGTCATTGGAACATAAGTAAGAATTCTGGATGGCAGCTATTAGCACAATAATAATTATGTCAATATAAGAATATCTGATTAAAACAAGAGTTGGGACTTCAAAATAATACAAGAAATAAAGTGCTAGATTCATTAGGGACTAGCTGTTCAGTATGTCACTTGGAGCATATTTTACAAATTTTTAACACATTTGATACATATGTACACTACAGAGATGTAGGAAATAACAGACTGTCATGCTAACTGAATGAGTAGGTGAAATCATGGACTGAGGGGTGTGGAGGAATAGCAGTTCAGTACAAATATCCTGAAGGAACATGAAATCAGGGAGAAGTAAATACTATCATAGCCAAATGGGATGGAAAGAAAACCTGTATACGACTCCACTGCGCAACTTACAGTTTTGAGTTAAAGGAAAAAACCCAACAAAAACACAGTGAATGTGCCAACTCCCACCATAAAAAAATCCCATCATCACTCCTTAATTAGAATTCAAGAAGAAATCTGTTCTACTTCAGTCTCTTCTTTCACATGCAAGCCAAGCTCACTTCCTGTTCCTGCTCCTCCACTTACTACATTTATTTCTTTATTTATTTCCTTTTCCCCAAAGTGCATCTTGTAAAGTGCTGTAAGAAGTTAGGCTTGGAAATCTGTAAATTTACTCTCTGGGTATGAATCCCATGACTATGTTCCAGCTACATAGCACAAAGACGTTGAAAAGACCATCATCATCCAGCCACCCACAAAACATCTGTTTTTCCAGCCACGATTTGAGAATGCTTTAGAAAGCAACTGTAAAAACTGAAAGTTTCTGGCACTGTGTTATTCGCAGGGAAAACTATTTTGAGGGTTCTGACTCAGCAACAGCTGGTTATCAAAATTCAAGTGTACCTGTGGATAAGCAGTGTGATGTATCACTGTGGCCTGATCCTCATCTAAAAGTGGGACTTTCCAAAGCAATCTGAGAGGCTTCCAGTGCTCATCGCTATTTCCACCCACGCATTCAAGTTTCACAAGCCCAGTAAGACCCAAACTGTCTTACCAAATAGTAAGGAAACAACAGCCAGTTGTGGGTCTCAAACTCCCACCAGCTTTTCACCTGCCAGAGTATAATTAGAGAGATACTTCGTATCTGCGTTCAAGCTCACCAACATAGATGTTATCTGGTACTAATGCCATCAAGCAACATTAGAATTTTGTTAAATAATTGTTGTCATTTTAATTATGTAATTTCTTGCCTTGCAAAGGTAACTTTAAAAAACAGAGGTATTAGAAAATAAAAATTCAAAATAATTTTGAAATTTCTCCAAGTATTCTCTTCTCAAATTCTGAGTTTAGCAGCTTTAACTGTGCTTCTGAGGTTGCCAGCAAGAGCTGTGGTTCTCATCTGCACACACCTTTTTCACTATGGGGAAAGTCTCATTATATATGACTACAAATAGACTATATATGACAACAATAGACAGTAAACAAGACTCAACAGTATTCGACATTTTCATCAGGTCTCTAGAGTAAACCTATGTATGTCACCAAGAATGTTGAAACTAAATACTGAGGAGTGGGCACCTATGCTTTTAAATAATTGAAAAAAAAAATCAGTTCAACCCAAGGTCAAGTCATGTATTTTACTGCCAGAGTGTATTTGCCACCTACAGGAGTGACCTACAGAGTAAGACAAAATCCTAGAAGAAATAACTCAGAAGAACTTAGTAATTACAGTAGGTAAGCATCAAAACTTGTGATGCCATGACAAAAAAAAAAAGGGAAAACAGCACTTACACATTCCTTTGGGCATATGGACATGACAGGTGTAAGGTGGTACTCTTACCTTTGCAAGGGACACTGGAACGCTGCATCCTGTTCCGGTATCCACATTTTTTAAAGTGTGTTGAAATATTGGACAGGGTACAGAGAAGAGCCACAGAAGTTATTTGCAAGGAGGAGAAAATTTCTCACAGTATGAAACAAAGAACCTAAACTGCTTTGAATATTAAAAAGATTGAGCTGTGTACATGAAGACTCCAGTGTTCAAATTATTAAAAAATACTAGCTCTTTTAAAAGTTTAGCATAAAAAAGTACAATAAAATTAATAATATAACAAAATTAAGAGCTGCAAAGTTAAGACAAAAGTACTATTCAAAATAAAGTCAGTTTTAATTGTAAGGGAGCTAACCATCAGAACAACCAACCTAAGATGTGTTTAATATTCCACCTTTTCATTTCTTATAATCCAGATTATGTTTTTCCAGACACATTTTGTACTTCCTTAGTACCATACTTAAAGACTAAGTGGATGATACATAATGCTCTATGAGATATGGCATCAGATGTGCTTATTAATCCTGACCTCTTTTTCAATCTGTCAGCTTGATCATCTTGCCAAATATCAGCAAGACAGTCAGACCTATCCACAACACAACAGACATTATCATCTATCTCCATGCTACAAATTGACTCAAAGGCTGCTTGTGAGAAGTTCAAGACAGTACAGAATATCAATACTGCTGAAATAGACTGCTGGTGCCTTTATCATTATTATTCGAGGAAACCAAAGATATAAGGGTATTAGAAACTTTGTCATTATCAATGGCATTTTATTGTACTGTTACAAAGAATATAAAATTTCTCCTTGCAAAGAACCCAAAAATTCAAATATGAAGACTTGATTCCGTCCAATTTACTCATTTCTGCAATTCCATTTTCTGTTTAGGTCAAAAGCTTTTAATGCAATTAATACTTGATTCAATTCATACAATAAGGATGGCTTCTTGAAAAGCTAAAATTAACACAATCTTTCATATCCACAGATCAGACTGCTTGAAGCTTAAGCAGCAATTACACTTATCAATAATAATGTCATATAATGGTGTCATCACAGATGCAAATATTGGTGGAAGTTTTTAATATAAAATTTGGTATTTAACGCTTAGAGCAGAAAGATAAGAAAAAAATACAACAGTTTGAGCAGAGTCAGAGCAGAAACAGAAAAGAATGAACTACAGCAAGAATTCAAGAAGTAAAGGGTATTTCCTAACATAATGTAGCTTTTTTCCATGAAAAGAACATGAATAATCGTGACAATAAGAAGAATAAACTAATTGAAAAAAGATGAGCCATTTCAAATCTGGCCATGATGTAGCTGAAGTTCTTGCTATTATATTTATAGACAAAGTAAAAACCACATCACACAGATAGAAGAATTTCTGCTGAAATTACAGCAACCTCATGAGACAGTATGCTGTGCCATAAAATACTGTACAAAGCTGCCATCCATAACAGAGAATAAAATCTATGAGCTGAATCAAATCCACTCTAGACTGCTGCTGCTCCTTTTCTCCTTTCCAAAATTATTTAAAAATCAGAGACTGACTCTGGTCATTTGCAATTCACAAGTCACTCTGTTCAGTCACCAATGATGGTCCCATTAGTCCAAAGGAACAGATCCAAGGACACAGATTTGCCACCGCCACCACCAGCAATCTGTCCCACTCAGAAAGGGCATAAGGCAGAGGAGGCATCTTAAGTTATGGGTGAAGATGGGCTTATGCCAAGACAGCATTTTATACTAAAATAGATAGGGTGAGGCTTTTGTTCTGCTGATCCTGCTGTAAAGGTTGGAAACTCTAGAAAAGTGAAGAGCATCCTACAGCCTTTTGCTGTTAAGGGTCCGGAGAGCTGTGAATGAGAGGTCTGTTAACAAACCTCAAAACTCCCATTAAGTAACTCCTGAAAGCTGCGAGGGACATCAGCTTTGAAAGCTTCTGTTTAGGCAGCATCAGTAATACGCACATGCCTTTATCCTTTGCTCTCCATGACTTCACACATGCAAACTTTTAAGAGACATTTAATCAAAATACATGCTCTGCCTTTTTATCCTGTATTTTGTGGTGAAGTAAGATACTGCACAAGGGACCAGATACTGTTTAAAAGGGAGACAGTGCCACGTTGAAACTGTAATTTGTACAAACAAAAAGATGACAGTTAAACTGGTGGTTGCTTTTGTCATTTGCTTTCTGAAATCAAATTGTTTACATCTAGATAGAGTTCTGTAGCTAAATGAATGGAACCTGGAAAAGAAGCCTGCACATTTCAACAGCTTGACTTTGTCACAAAAGGTGACAGAAGTTAGCAGACTGCAGCTGTCCATGTTATTTTCCACAAAAGAGAGAGCTCAAAGTAACATTTCCTTTCAGCTCTGTTTGGTGGTTTGTTTTTCAGTTGGCAGGGGAAGGGAAGGGGTTGTAGTGTGGTTATTGATTTTTTTGGGGGGGGAGTTACAATGCCCCTAATTTTTCCTCCAACAAGTACTTTACTTGCAAGATT